AATTTTAGTTAGTTAGTTATGTATTTTTTAAATAAAAAAAAATTTTTGAATTTACTTACTTGTAGCTGGAGTTAGAGACGGTTGGATACTTATGACCGCTACTGTATAACATTAATGTTTATCAATATAAATAAAGGACAATATCCCTAAATATGAAAGAAAACTAAAAACATATAAAATGTAACCCTTTAATCCTAAAATTACTCAGTTTAAATAACCTCTAAAGCAAAACTCTAAGATCACTGATCTATCATTACCTGCTTTGACAATTCCTTCTCAGGACAGAAAAATCAAGCTGAGGAAAATAAAACTGAATAGACTAGTAACTGCATATTTATACCATAAGAAAATGCCTGATAACTCAGTATAACCAGTTATTATAATCACAAACAAAATGTCTGCTAACTCAATATAATGATTATTTAGGTTAAACTGATTCAACTTTAAAGATCACTGGAACTGAATTATAGTTACAATCAATAACTCAATATAATGACTTTTACCGTTAAACTGGTTAAATTTCAAAACCATTAGTCTATCATTACCCGCTTTAACAATTTCTTTATAGGAAAATTAAGCTAAGAAAAATAAAGCTGAATAGACTAGAAACTGGATTACTTGGCTATAGGCAACTCTTTATTCTTCTCTTTATCTTTGGCAGTATTAAAGAATTTAAAAATCTTTTGTAACAGTCATTTTATATTGTATATAGAAAAATGTTTAAGCTTTATACTTAATAGTAAATAAATAAAATACAAATAATAAATAATAAATAAATAGAAAATATACCTTATTGTTAATTTCCGATCTTGAAAAAGTAGAAAGAAGTGAATTTTTTTTGTTTTCAAGCAAAAGAGGTTTTAATGCTTATTATGACGTAATATCACATAAACTTTTTAATCCAATTCTATTAGCTTAATCCATCTCTATATTTAATCATAATAATGATAAAAATCAATTTATCAGTATATCAGTATATACTACTATATATTGTAATATTAAACTATAACCCTATTCACTTCAAAATTAACCCTTTGGAATATTGAAGGCGAAAAATGAATTATATATACATTGAAGTTTAAAATTTTCTATTGAAGGATATATTATATCCAGGTATGATACTTTTTGAAATATTTTTATTTTAGACAAAATTTGATTTATTTAACAAAAAAATTTGATTCTTTTTATAGCTTACTTCTAGTTAAAGGATTTTTACCATTGTCTTTGATAATGAAACCTTAGATATTTTGATATTCTTTTATTAAAACAGTAATTGATACTAATAGATTAGATTAGAATTTATCAGTGATGTGAATAAAGATTTTATCGATTTATTTGTTATTATTAATAAATAACTTAGACTTTTTTTTTATTTGATGATTCATTGAAAAATAGATAAAGTTTAAACACAGAATTACATCTATATATATTTTATTTAATTCTTTAAATAAAAATTCCAATAAAAATTCTAATTAAAAAAAAATATCTGATTTATTAAAAAAATATTTACAATTAAAAATTCAATTAATTTAATTTAAAACAATTATTAAAAGTATTTTTTTAAAAATAAAAATACAATTATTTAAAAATAAATGCAATTAAAAAATATCACAATTCAATTAAAAAAATATAATTAATTAAAAAATCGCAAATCAATTTTTAGTGAATTAGATTTATAGTTTTGTATTAAAAATAGTACATTTTGTAAAATTCATAAAGAGATCAAATTCAATAAAATTAATAATTTTAATATTTAAAAATCAATATACAGAGGACCGCTAAAAGTCTCTGAACACTACTTTTTAGGTGCAATTTAATATCAGCAATTTTATGTGACTTAGAAATACTGCGGTCATATAACGTTTTGAACCTTGTTTACATGATTCGTACTTTAAAATGCATTTCCAAATAGTGATAGTTTTCAGGAGGATAATGTTCAGCCTCACAAATTGAAGCAGGCGAAGAATTTTTATGTAGAAAATCACCTGCATGTTCTTTCATGATCCACTCAAAATTCAGACTTCAACCTGATCAAAAATATGTTGGCAGATGTCAAGAAAAGTATCTGAGAAAGGAAAAAAATGCCTTCTTACATTGCTGAACTAGAGCGGCATATTAAGAAGTCATGAAAAGAAATTTTCATACATACTATCGAAAATTTGGTCGATAGTATGTCACAATGAATTTGGGCTGTAATTAAAGCAAATGGAGGCTCAACCAAGTACTAATTAATTAGTATAAATTTATTTATATGTCATTTTTAATAAATATTTAATAATTTTTTAATTAAATTTTAAAAATTTTAAATGTTTTATTGAGCTAAAAAGCGTTCAGAGACTTTTGGCAGCCCTCTGTATATTGCTTTATTCAAAAATATAAATTTTATTTTTATTTATAATGTAAATATCAAGAAAAAATAATTTTAAAAATTATCATTTTTTAGGCAAATATGAATATACTATTAAAAGTTATCAAATGACTCACTAAAAAGAAAAAAATTAAATGATTTTAAAAAATAATAAAATAAGACCTTGGATAATAATAAAAAAATTTATTAATCTTGTAATATATATCAAATAGATATGCTAGACCTAATAATATGTATACATTTCTTGTGAAACTATATAACTATAACAGGTAGTTGTATATTTATGACAATTTATACATCAGCGTTGAATATATTTACCTCTGAGTTTTGAAGTTATCAGATCACTACTAAAGTTAATGAAACGTTATTCAAAATTATCTGAATCTAGTTTTTATTTTTTTTTGGTCTGATCAGCAATTGTATTGTATGAATAACAATCAAAGATCAATATTGCTAATTGCTTGTGAAAATCAATATGTTTCATATTTATCTTTTCCAAAATAAATCTATAATTGCAGAAAAGCTATTTGCCTCTACAACTATAAGATAGAAGGTAAAAATACGATCTGCAGAGTGTTTTAATCTAAGAATATCATGATAAGAAAGTGAATTATCACGCAAATTATTAAATATGTCTACAGCTGATCTAAATTTATTATACTTATTAAATACAACAGGTCAACAGAATGTTATACTACTATAACTCTTAATATATCAATTTACTTCTGTTTCAAGAATTATTATAGAATAACTAGTGAGAAGTACAATATCTTTGCAGTCACGAATTGAATATACAGTTAAGTTAACATCATTTATTTGCAAACTTAACTAACGGATGATCTATATGTATCTTCAAGTACATCTGTAATATCATTAAGAATATTCTTAGGCTAATAATAATGCTTCTTTATCTATAGGATAAAATAAAAACTATAGTTATATAAAGTAATATATGCATCTGTGCTACTAAACTATGAATTGACAATAATTATTCTACTATTACGAAACTATAGTTCTACTAATCTTAATATAGATGTAACAGTTGTTAGGTATTAATTTGAAAATTTTTTTTTTATAGTACATTCCGAAGGTTCTATTGGATCTAATCTTAAAAATAAATTGATTTGAGCATCTGCAAGAGTTTTAAATTCACATCCAATTGGATATAACTTTCTGGGTATTTTTCGTTGAAATAGACCTTTATCAACTTTGCCCATCCATTGATATATTAATTCATCCATGTAAAGGTAAGGACTGGATAGAATAGCTTTTGTAAGATTTTCATTAAATTCATTGTGAAACTGCTGTGCAAAATGAAAGGGATCATTATTTGCTGATACATCTGTTAATGTTAAATATTTTATAATATTTCAAAATCGTTAATATGATATGTATTGACTAAATGCTAGCGAAATTTTAGTTATTTCTTATTTAATAGACCAATAATTGTGAATATCAGCATATTTTATATATGTCATAATCGTTAAAATACTAATAAATCTCACAAATTCTGTCTATGTTAAATCACTTCACTCACATTCACATTCATATTCACGCGCATATTTATTTGTAGATGGAATTACTACTGATATTATAAAATCAACAGGTATAAACTGCTCAAAAAATTGTCTAGGTGTTGCTAGAGGTTGGAACTGGTTTTAATTTTAGAAACTGGTTTTATTCATATTATGAAAATTAGAACCGGTTATATATCAGTTTGAATCAATAAATTAATAAACTGGTTAAAACCGATAAATGATAAAACGAGAAACTGATAAACTGATTTTCTATATATTTTTTTGGCTCGTCGTTACTTTTTTGTAACATAATAAGATAATGAATAAAAAAAAAATAATAATAAAAATGTAGATTAAATCAACAAATAATTAATTTAAATTTAATTGTTCAATTATTATTTATTATATAAATGTTTAATTAATAAGTAATTCCATTATATTTGAAATTAAAATTTAAAAATTAAAAGAATTAATTATTAAGTACTAACTATTATGACAAGTGTTAATTATTAAATTTCTTGAGGCGGAAACATTTCAAAATATGTATTATTGCATTTTAAAAATAATACCTTATTTACTAGATCAGGTGATAAACACGTTTGTTTTGCAGAAATATTATTTCCGGCATTAGAAAATAATCATTTGCTTGGCACTGAAGTGGCAGGAATTGAAAGATATTTTTTTGCAAGTTGCGTCAAAATGGAAAAACTATATGATTTACCCACCAGGTTAAAGGATCGTCTTTAACTTTAATATTCTTTATATTTTTATAGCGTGATACTTCATTATCTTCATCTGTAATCGTTTGTGTGCAATCACCTTCAAGATCGCGAAAAAAATCATTGTCATCGTCGTTCTGATCCTTATCTTCTGTCAGTTCTGTATCATCTGGAATATGAAGACTTGATTTTAATGCATCATATTTTGTTTTTACTAAATGAAGTGCTTTATCACGTTCATCTAGAGTCGCCCAATTAAAATGTTTAAACCTTGAATAAAGAAACGTGGCGATCAAAGTATTATCAGTCAGAACGGACCATAATTCATCTAATGAAAGATAAATTGCAGCTCAAACTTTTTCAATCAATCCAGTAGTATCAACTGATAGTAAGTATTCAATTTGATTTATATCCTCAGTGCTTTCGATCCTTGTTCATTTTCTAACTAGTCCCATTCAAATTTGTCTTCTTTGACCGCGGATTTTCATTCTTTGATGAAATTGTCAATATGCATATTGCCATTATTGTCGAGTACCAGCAGCAGGTATGTCATTATCAGTTATTTCATTGTTACTTTCTTCATAATTTTCTTCATAGATAAGATTTAGATAAGATTTAATAGTCTCTTCTTTATCTAATTTCGGAGCAAATTGTTTTTTAAGAGATTTCATAAAAGGATGAATAAGATTAAGAGTAGGATAGCTTGCACCACACAAATTTCGAGTCACAATTTCGATCGGTTCCAATAGCTTTACTACATTTTGTATAAACCTACAAAATAAATAAATAATAAGAGTTAAAAATTTGAATTTAAAATATAAAATTTATCTTTGTATATTAAAAAATAAAATGAGACAATTGATAATAAAGTTAAATAAAAAATATGTATTACTCTTTTTCTGCAACTGATAAGCAAAGCCATTCTAGTTTTTCACTTTCTTTTTGAGAAGCACGATCTGTTTCTAAAAGAAGCAAAGTTAAAACAAATCTCATTGAATTATGCAATTCTAGAATGCGTTTCTAAGCCAGATAGGTAGAGTTCCATCGTGTTTTGACATCTGTTAAAAGGTCGAGAGGACTTTGAATAAAATCTCCTTCAACTTGATTATTTTGCATTTTATGTAAACGTTGAGCTTGCTTAGGAAGCCGAAAAAAAGTTTGCAAACTTTTGACACAATGATGAATAGCTTTATATTGTTTTAGTCCCTCTTGAACTGATAATTGTAAATTATGCGCTGCATAAGGTTGACATTCTATACCGCTAATATAATTACTATTTAATAATCTTATTTCCTTCACCATATTAGGACTGTTATCTGTAGAAATGGTAAAAACCATTGTTTGAAGATGCCATTCAGAAATTATTTTAAATAATTCTTCACTAATTACTTCCCCAGTATGTGGATACGAAAGATGGTTGCAAGAAAGAAGAGCTTCTCAAAACTTAGAATCAGAAGATAACCAGGAAGCTGTAACACCTAAATAACCATGTCGGGACTTTGCAGTCTAAATCAGAAGTCAAATGAATGCTTGTTACACTACTTCGAAGTAATGAGCTAAGTTAATCATAGCTCCAATTATATGCTTCATGTATTAGCCCTTTAGAAGTTTTAACACATAGAATGCAAAATTCTGGCTCACACGCGAAAATAAAATCACGAAAAAATTTATTCTCCAAAATATAAAGGGGCAAGACTAAATGAATAATAAATTGTATTAATTTTCTTACTAAAAAGTCTTATCTTTTAATTAAACATGGTAGTGCTATTGCTGCATTATTGTAATAATTGGTAATTTTGTTTTGATCAAATTCTGGCTAATAAATAAATTTGCAGCTA